ATGTGTTCTGCACTATCTTTAAAATATTGATTTCTTAATTTTGGGTTGGAAACGTGGGGGTTGTCTTGTACATGGGGGCGTCTTATTGACGGAAAAATATGGTAATATGACGGGCAAATGCACATACTGACTGGTGGTGGTGAAAACCAACTTTGAGAAAGGGAATTTTCAGCAAAGTAGAGTTGGGGTTGGGGAAGGATATTTACCATTTGCACTGTACCCTCCTCAAAAACTGCATTCATTGTAAAATATGTTTACAAACGTGTAAACACATCTAGAATTCTGCATAGAGGCAACTGGTTTGGAAGAGGGGAAGTTACAGAAATGGCAGAGGGGGATAGGATTAAATTTCTTCTGTTAGTACTTTCCCGTGGAAATGACTCCTTTCCAAAGCCACATTATAATAAACAGTTTAGATGCATGTTTGCATAAAAAGTGGGGCTTGGTAGTCAGGATGATCATTAATCTACAATTCTTTTTGTCCAGGAATTTGGTTTTCTGTAAAGGTACTGTGATGTAAAGGTACATCACAAAAGAGACCTCCATACTGCTGATCTCCCTATGTTCATTTTTATGTAGTCTCAGTCAAAGACGAGAGTAAACTGTGTTAAGGACTAGAATTTATTTTTAATTGAATTTAACTCTGAGATCACCATTTTACAATTAGTCAAATCAAAACTGATTATTATATTATTCCTTCAAAAAATAATGTTATCAATTGATCCTTAATCCAGACCAATATATTATTCTGCACCTAAGTCATTTGGGAAGACCCACCCTTTCTGGGTGCAAGAACTGGTTCTGAAGTCCCAATGAGCCAGAAAAACTTAAATTATAGCATTCTTCCTAGGAAAGCAACAAATCACTTCCACATTGTTGTCAAGAAAATGGCATAGTTGTGCCTATGTAGTCACCAGGAGTTGAGCTCAGCTTATGGAATGGGACTCTACAGAATCTTCCCAAGTATCCTTCCCAAGAAATATGACCCTAACCAGTATGGGTTTTGTAATCCATCACACCTGAGGAGCCCCAGTTTGGGAAAAACCGATTTGAGGACTACCATCTATAGGGCCATGACCGGACTCCAACTCAGATCCACCTCTCATACTCCATGTCTGCCAGAACAATGCAGTGTCAAGACATCTGGCCCAAATCCTAATTCTGTTGCAGCTGGATAAATTACGCCTCAACTTGGAACCCATATATTAAATACTATAAGCTGCTGCCTCAGTGCAGTATTTCATGGGACTGGATGAACTCTTTAATCAGCTCATTTCAATCTTTTCTTGCTTCTTACATCCAAACTATTTAAATTGTAGCATTCTTTTTTTTCAGCACAAACATAGCATTAAATCTTGTTTTTTCCAGGACAAATGTCTAATGCCCAATGTATTTCTCACTTCACTTTTTCATAGGCATACTTTCTCTTCTCTGTGGGATTCTGGTGTTACTTTTACCTGAGACCAAGGGGCAGCCCTTACCAGAGACAGTGGAAGATGTGGAGAAAATGTCAAGGTACTGACTAAGCATCCTTAGATATTCTTACATGTCCTCTGGCAAATTAAGCCTTCAGATGATTAAATCTGGACTTTAGTTCAGCAATTTTTGAGAGACTTAGCACAAACTATGCATTAAATACATATGAGTGTGCATGTGTGTGTATGTGCGCGCACATTCATACACCTAAACATCCATGGTTTTTTTTTTTTTAAAGAAACAGACATTGCAGGGGGCAGTTTGGACTGCAAGCAGCACAAGAGCAGAGGGGATTAATCTTCTGCTCCCCCCACCCAAACTGCAGTATCAGTAAAATTGTCTTAGCACTGATTTAAGTCAGTTATGACATTTATATTCTACCTTCTTCCAAGAAACTGAAAGCAGCATTTATTTTCACTCACCTCCATTTTATTATCACAACAATTATTTGAAAAGGGTTAGGCTAAATATATGAGTTTGTACTCACATTAAGCTATTGCTTGTTTTTACATGATTTAGTGATTAAGCCATAATAGCTAGGTTCATATAAGCCAGAATGGCTGAGTTCATACAACATGCTAATCCAAAGTAAACCACATTCTAATTTAGTGTGATGTGGGAAGAATAGCCCAAGTTGCTAGATGAGTTGGAGTTGCAATGGTGTCTACTTGGTCTTAGTCTGACTGCATGGATCCCCTAATTTAGGACAGAGGGGACCAATGTTCATCTGCTCACTGGTACACAAGGAAATTCACTTTTATCTTCATTCATGAACCCAATCTAAATTTGGCCCTCTTGAGTTTCCTATTTAAGAAAAAGGCCAGTGCACATTACAAAGTAAGATTCAGTCTCAAAAATTATATTACTTTAAGGAAGCAGCATTTCTGCCTAAATCAGTCTATCCTATAAAGTCAATTGCTTATATACTATTTTTTATTTCTTATCTTTACAGTTTCAGTGTCTGTTGTGAAAAAAAGAAGCAGCAAAATTCCAGCAAAGAAGTTTGATCTTTTGCTAACACTGCAAAGCCTCATGAGCTACCTGGTTCTCAACTACATGACCATTGGACACCATCTTCCTGTTAAAGAAGATGGATTCAATTATGTCATAAGCCTTAAAAGATCCATTTTATAAAGTAAGCATAGAATTTTTCTATGGGGTAAATACGAACATATTTTCAGAACCTATTGTTTCCAGATAGGGAACTATTATATGCGGCTCTCATAGAAGAGTAATCACTTCCATTAAATATTTTGTTTTACTATGGGATCTTGGTTTTTTTTATATATATGCTTGGCCTATCTCCTTTATCTTTACTAATTTGCAACACAGTTATTTCAAAGTATCTGGAATCAACCAGAAACCATTTGATTCAATGGAACAGGATCAGAATGGAATGTTAAAAACATTTTCAAAGAAATATGTTCCTTATTTGAAAGGTAAATATAAGTAAGAACATTCCTACAAGAAATGTAGGAATTAACTCTTCTTCTTACGGACTCAGGACAACAAGCACATGTATATCACCTCATGGTAATGCTGTGGTACAGATGAGACTATAAGATTGTTTCTTGACCCACACTCCATGTACTGGTCTAATTGACTGTAATAAAGTAATTGAAATTGATTGACCCACACTCCACAGGGATCTTCAGGTTGGCCTGGGGATTAGAAACCATCTTTCTATCTACTGCATCATGTTTATCCTCCACAGGGTTAGAATTAAATTCTGGTACTGACTTAAATTGCTAACCTGCCTCTTGATACAGCCAAGTTCCAGAGATTAACCCAGTCACAGTTAGAGAAGTTAAAGATGTAAAAACTTTGCAGGTGCTGTTAATACTTAGATTTACACTGGTTCTTGAGATTTTTGTATGGGGTTTTTGTTTTGTTTTTTGGACTTCCTATTTAACCAGTTAGAACACACATCTCTATGTGAGGGGGTTCACCTCTTCCCAGAACCTTTTACAATGGTATGTTGGGAAAAATGCAATTGTTTTTGGAAACTCCAATTAAAAGGCATTGAGATACGTTCCCATTGTATAGGAGGAATGCTGTTGTTTCTCTTAAGTTCCACCTACTCAGCAATCTATGTTCACCACTCTCTGTTAGAAATGAGAGACATAAACTAGATATGAAGTGACGTAAATGTATAGAGGTTGTGCATTTGCCATCTTTGGAGGTTTTTAAGAGGCTGGGCAGCTACCTCTCAAGGATGATTTAACTGGTTTCTTGCACACTGCAGTCTTTCCAGCTTCACATTATCTGGGAAGCAGACACAGGTTGGGGCAGACAGACATCAGGATCACATAGCAAATATGGAGGGAGGGGGGGCGGAATTTACTCTTTACTTTTTCACCATGCTGCAGAAGAAATTCCTTCCTTTAATGGTTTTACTTGCTTTGGGCAAAAGTTCCTCCTGAAGCAAAAGCTCTTTCAGATTTTTCACACATATATAACTAACACTGTTTACATTATAGCTGTACACTGAATACAAAGCCAGATTAAATCTCCTCTGGTTTCTCTTTGAAGATAGATTTACTGCTCAGAGCAGAAGAGAATTTGCCTGTTATTTTCTCCTCCCACACAATTTGGTCAGAAATTACAGATTGATGATCAGCTGGCTTTGCCTGGAGAAAAGTAGATGGCTAAGCATTGTGTCTACAAGGATATAATCTTAAATACTGAATAGAAGAAAAAGAGAGTACATTTTAGACTAAACATACATTCTAGTGATTAAGCGCTTTGGAACAAAATGGGTATGAAAGAATGTGATTATATAGCATCTTTGTAATAATATTCACTCCTAAGGCACTGTACAGGTTGATCACATATTCCAAAGAGATGCAGCAAACCCAGGTGGCCTAGACTTAAAGCAATACCATCTTAAGTCCTATTAGAATCTAAACAGTGGTCTCAGTCCAGCCAATAAAAAGCTTCTGATAGTTGCATTGAATCAGAAACAGGCAACTTTTTGGAGCTTCCAGTGAGGAATTATGGCGGACTGGAGAAAGGAGTGGAGAGACACCACAACCAAGAATGCAGGCTAGAAGGTGGATGCCAGCCAGCAAAATCTCCCTGGATCAAAGGGAGATCATGAGATAAGCCATTTGCACTCCGGATGGTGGCTCCTTGTGAGTGTACTGCAGAACTGGAGTTGCCAGGAGTCCCAGGATTCCATCTACACTCACAACTGCAGTATAGCCTATATGGACAATGAACCCCGCCATCTTCATTTCTTAACCCCCTTTAGGAAATAATTAATCTATAGATATAATTGGAGGACTTTACATAATAAAACATACAGTAATGTCCTAGACTGTGACATTTTGTTGCCATGGTGATGTGGTTTGTGATATAGAGAGACTTCCTTTGCAAAAAGGATAAGATTCCTTGTGGTGAGTTAAACCTTCTTTCGGGATTGCAAAAATAAAAAGACTTTTAGGATTTAAAGATTCAAGAACTTTTTGCAAAACGCTTAACAAAGAGAAGATTTAAGAAACTTTTCAAATGGCAAAAGGGGCAGTTATTTTTCTATTTTTTAATTATATCTATTATTTTTATTTTTGATGAAAGTCCTTTGGGATAAAGTTGCTAGTAAAGAGACCAGTCCTTCATGGGAATGCTTTTTGTTTACTGTTAAAAAGTGCATCTATAATGGCAACTCCTAGAAAAATGACAAGAGACAGTAGGAAGGGATGGTTAGAGCAGCCTGCAGAGAAAACAGTTACAGCAGATCTGCTTCAGAAATTATTTAGCAAGATTAGTATATGCTCAAAAGTAGAAAGGTTCGGCATTTCTCACATGGAGGAATGGTTGGTGAAGATGATGGACCTTGCAGAGATGATTAAACTGACTTCCTTGATTACAGAAAAGACAACATCTACATTTATGGCTGATTGGAAGCCCCTTATGGACTTTTTGAATGAAACAGAAAAAAAATGCACTTATGACTTGTGGTTTGATGATTAGGGGAAAAAAAATAGATAATAGGAAAAATGAGCTTTTCTTTTTGTAACCATAGAGTAAGAGATAGTTTTGTAACCATACTTGTATTTGCTGCAAAGAACATTGGAAGCTTCTTTATATTTCTTTTCATCTTTTCTTTTTGCACTTTTGTCTTTCTTTTGTCTTTCTCTTTTCCTTTTTTCTCTTTCTTTATATTAGTTTTTGT